CTAACCTCCATGAAATTATCTAGATTCTCTTTAAACTCTGTTATAGTCCTAGCCTTCACAGCCACCTCTGGCAAGGAGTTCCACAGGTTGACTACGTGCTGTGTGAAGAACTTTCTTTTATTAGTTTTAAACCTGCTACCCATTAACTTAATTTGGGGTCCTCTAGTTCTTCTATTATGGGAACTAATAAATAACTTCTCTTTATTCACTCTCCACACCACTCATGATTTTATATACCTCTATCATATCACCCCTAAGTCTCCTCTTTTCTAAACGGAAAAGCCCCGGTTGCTTTAACCTCTCTTCATATGGGTCCTGTTCCAAACCCTTAATCATTTTATTTGCCCTTTTCTGAACCCTTTCTAAGGCCAAAATATCTTTTTTGAGGTGAGGAGACCACATCTGTACACAGTATTCAAGATGTGGGCGTACCATAGTTTTATACAGGGGCAGTAAGATATCCTGTGTCTTATTTTCTATCCCTTTCTTAATAATTCCTAACATTCTATTTGCCTTTTTGACTGCCACTGCACACTGTGTGGAAGCTTTCAGAGAATTATCAACAATAACTCCAAGATCTCTTTCCCGATTCGTCATAGCCAAATTAGCCCCCATCATACTGTAAGTATAGTTGGGGTTATTTTTTTCCAATGTGCATTACTTTACAATTATCCACATTAAATTTCATTTGCCATTTTGTTTCCCACTCACTCAGTTTGGTGAGATCTTTTTGAAGTTCTTCACAGTCTGCTTCTGTCTTGACTATCCTAAACAGTTTGGTATCATCCACAAACTTTACCACCTCACTGCTTACCCCTTTCTCCAGTTCATTTATGAATAAGTTGAACAGGATTGGTCCCAGGAAGGACCTCTCTTTCTTTCAAAGGAGAAGAGGTAGCGGGATATCGAGAACCCCATATCCAATAATCGAATAGTTGATAGACATTCCTTTGAAATTTAACACCCCTAGTGCTCATGGCCTGTGCTTAATACCTCTTAAGTACAAGCGTTTGTGCAACATCAACACCGTTTTTGCCAACTTCTTTGAGAAGGACCCACCTTTTGCTCATAGTTTGTGTTTAATCTGACATTTACAGATTACAAATACATAAAAACCCTGCTGGCATCCAACTCTAAACTACAACAAATTCATCTTCAATTCTTGAAACCAAATTCTTGCAGCGGGAAAGAGGAAGAGATCAGTCCAACTCAAGTTTCTCTGGCAAATTCTTTGAGGTGACAAGTACAGTCCTAGAAGCACTGGTTGTGCAGTCATATGATGGTCAATGTTCACCTGAAATTTGTTACTTGTTTTTAAAGAATACATCAGAACCCACTGTATAAACATTATCCCATGCAAAATGGCCTGGTAATCTACACAGCAATAAGTGGTTTTATCCCTCACTGCTAAAGGGTGGAAAAAACACTGCTGCATTTTCATTTCCTACTCTCACACATTTCTTTCTGAGAAAGCATCTCTAATTTAGTGGAAGATAAAAACCTAAACAGGAATGACTGAACAAGAGCTAATTTAATTTTTGAACTACTCACTCTAGAAGCACACAA